TGACGAGAATAATACGCGAAAACAATAAACGGCGCGTGTCCTGTAAAACCAAATGGTGAAACAAAAAGAAAAGTTATAAATGCGAATAAATAAAAATGCTTGACGCTTGTTGTCAAATAAATAAAATGCTTAAATGAAATGTATAAATGTTACTTTTTAAACAAATAAAATGTATAAATAGAACACATAAATAAAAATGCGTAAGCGTTTCTCTTCAAATAAATGAAACGCGTAAATAAAATGCATAAATAAAACACATAAATGTTTCTTCCCACTTTCTCTAACGACAAACCTGTCACAGAGAAATTCCCGGGTGACACTGTCGACGGGAACTCTAACACACACACGCGCGCGCGCGTCTCACGGATGATATTGAACTTGAGATATGCATTATAAAGGGACGCGCTGCTGCGTAAGCCGAGCTTCGATATTTTACACGAAGCGTCTCAGTGACGAATCGTTGAATAAAAGTTCCCAGAAAATAAGAGAATCCATTCAAAAAGGAGAATAGAGTTTGCTATTTAATTGCATTCTCCCGCCGAGACAGCCTGCATATTGCATGTTAAAGACTATTTTAAGAATGCCAAGCGAACGGTGATACGATTCCGCCGCTTCGGGATCGTTTCGAGATATCAAAGTTAAAGAAGCGCTGGGATTTAACGTCAAGAGTTATTCGAGTTATATGCGCTTATTAAAGAAGTTCAAATGGCCATACCTGCCGGCCGAAGATTTTCACCACGAACGAGAATGTTTCAGCCGTTTTTCTTCGGCTTCGTGCCGCGAGAAGAAAGGGGGAAGAGGGAGGGCCGTCGCTATTTAAAATAACGTAATCGCCTGCGGCCTAAGTGATCGAAAAGCGTATCATCCACCGACGAGAGCTTCGATAAGAAGCTGGCTCGTCTTTCGTCATGCATTCCCGAGAAAACCACCTCCCGACGAAGACACGGTCGCGGGGTGTAGAGGGGTAGAGAACGAGCATATACCATTTTTATTCGTGTTCCGTCCGCGAAAAAGAATCCCAGGACAGGTATGTGTGTCTCATGTATTCCCATGCATCTTCCTGATACTTTTAGAACAAGCCGGCGGGAAACGCGCTCTCCTCGCCCGCCCCCTCCCCCTNCGGAATCGAATCTCTGGGACATGCGTTCACTCGCAGCTCTTCGCCGAAAGAGCTCTCCGATCGCGTGTGGTTGTAAGCTACGTGTATTAATTTATTCGTATGCGTAATGACACATGCGCCATGAGTGCAAGAAAAGCCATTCCTTTCCGGAATAAGTATTCGCGAGAGACATTTCCAATCACAGCATGTAGCTTTCGTTCGCAGTGATATTCGAACGAGAGCACGTTTCCTGCTTTGTTCAAGACCACCCTAAAATGTTGATGCTACTTTGCCGCTCCTAAAGACAGTTTGCGCCTACTTAGACGGCTTTTAGATGAATAAAAACCTACTTCGACGAATCTAAAGGTTACGTTCAGTTTTTTCTTATATTCTGCAAGATATTTTGCAAATAAATAAAAATATTCTTAATAAAAGAAAGTATTACGAGGTAGCTGATATGTTTCACGGGTGAAATTATCACGATTGGAATTGATGTCGCGTTTCGAAACCGTGAGAAGTTTTGCGGGAAGTAACACGACCCTGACAATAATGCGAAAGTCCGCGCTAAAGCGGATACACTGATTGCAGGAGGTCGCGGGGGTCGCCGAAGTCGATGCGTCGCGACCGAACGGTCAGGATGATCGCACGCGTTTTGCGTATTCATGTATAGTTGGTTGCTCTTGAGCTGTGTCCATGAGTAATCCGATATTCCACAAAGCATCGGCGATCGCCCGTGTCGGTCGCAGTGTGCCTTGGTGCGCGGATCGATCGGTGTAATCGATCGGTCGACGATCGTGAGAGAGAGAGAGAGAGAGAGAGAGAGATAAAATGAGAGAGTTAGTGAGGGGAGGAGGAGGAAGAGATGCCTCGCGCTTCGCGGGACGGAATCGAATTTTGATTACGATTTTGGCGGACTCGCGCGCGGACATCAAACGCACTTTAACCATCGATGTGACGACCGGGCAAACACCTGCGATGTAATCATCGGATTAGTACGCGTCGGGTTGAAGGCACGGAAGAATCAGTTATATTACAATATATTCTATTTTATAAAAGATTATCTTTCTACGTTAGTATTATATATGTGTATAATCTGTAAAATATAATTATAATTAAAAAAATGTGATCTTCCTCTCTTTTTATTTCTACAAAGTTTTAATCTAAACAAATGAATATTTTCGGCCGTCTGATTTATGGCGGAGTCTTCAGACGATCAAAATGTGTCTTTCGAGCAAGTAGTGTCAATTAACAATAAGTCAGGCGGCCGAAAATTTCGTTTTCGAGCAAATAGTATACGTCAACGATAAGTCAGACAGCCGAAAATTTCCTTTCGGGCAAGTAGTATAAGCCAACGACAAATCAGACGGTTGAATATTCCCGAATTGCAAATATTTATTGGGGAGAAATCATAATAAAACTTGTGAATCTTTATTTATATGATAAAAAAATGTGTAAACGATGACCAAATTTGTGTTAAAAGCGGTTCATTGAAATTTTGTTACTTTAACATAGGAAATATGTGAAAAAATATACTTACAATAGAAATATAATGTTGAATTAACCCATTCCTTTTGTCAACATATGTGTTGTAACACATATTTATGTACTTTTTAATACATTATCTATGTTAAAGTAACACAAAATTTCAGTGTGAACACGAAATGTTCACACATGAAAAAAATTTTTAACACGAAATTTTTTACTGTATACGAGGTGTTTCGCAGATAACCTGATAAATTTTGATGAACACAGATTGTTGAAAGATTGTAAGCAACTAAATATAAATAAAAGAATTTCTATAAAAAATTTATATATTATATGTTATTATATTATTTGCCATCATTTTTACGTAACAACTTATTTTATATAAATTGTATAATAAAGTAAAATTTATGACTATGAACGAATATCTCCAAATAAAAATGTATATTTAACATTCAAGTAAAATAAATTTTTCATATGATGCACATCAAAATGAATAAAACATGCGTGAAGTTGCATGTTTTTTGTACGCTGCCGCACGTTTGAAACAATTCACATTTAATGGCGAAACTAGAATCGTAAAAAGCAACGTTTGATCGATCAATCTTGCTGGGAAAGGAAAAGAAATTGACACGACGGGAAATAAATATCAGTCATAAAACTAAATGTACCATAATAAATCATGTACAATCATTTGTTATGCGAGGCCATTTAATATGTATGTCAACAGTGTCCAATTATACTGCGACCGTATTTATTATTTACGACGGCGAAATATCACGATCGCGGGGCGCGCAAACGTGCGCGCACAATAGGACTTTTATAGAATTTGGAGCAAACTATCGAGTCGCCCGATAACTTCCCCAAACTTTCTTATCGCACGGAATCCTGTCAAGGACACAAGACTTATCGAGGAACCCACTTGTCTCGCGAAATTATCTTTGCCATAAGCACAAGTATCGATTCCACTTGTCAAAAACGTACAGATTCATGACTTTTCTTTCCATCTTAACCATCGAAGAAAAGTGCTTACTTAAGAATTGTGACTTCTATTCGTATAAAAATACGGTGTTTTATTCATAGCGATAATCGCACATAGTCGCTCGACAAATTACGATAGATTACCGTCCCGACGACGAATGGCTTGAATTCGCTGGGTAGATTCGAGAACGCAGAGCTCACGCGGAAAAGTGCAAAAGGAAGAAGGCGAACGGTGCTGCGGCGTTAATTACGGTGCGCGGCGCTCTTAAGTGTCACCATTTAGCCCGGGATTAATCTGTCACGCGGTGAGCGTGAAAAACTATCCGTTTAAGAGGCCGACTCTCATGGCAGACCGTTTGATTGGCAGCTCTCGAGACAGACAACAGAAGAGAGAGAGAGAGAGAGAAAGGGAAAAGAGAAAAAGGAGATAGTAGAGTTCTTCTACGGTGCGTGCTCGTACTTGCGTCCCTCTCGCACTTATAAAGCCTCTTCGCTCGCGCGTATATTCGACTCGGAAGTGGTGCGAGAAGAGAGGGAACGAGACACGAGACGAGAGCGCAGGGTAGCGGAGGAAGACTTTATTTTCGGTAGTCCGATGACGTTCACCAGCTCGCGCGAGCGAAGAGGAGCGCGCGTCCTAGCGCGGAGGAAGAGTAGATGAAGACGACGTCGTAAAAGAAGAAGGGGGAGAAGAATCCGACGAGGAGAAGGAACGGGAGGAGAAGGAGGAAGAAGGAGAAGATGAAGAAGGAGGAGGAAAAGGAGAAGAAAGAGGAAGAGACGGAGAAGAAGAAGAAGACGAAGAGAGCATCTCCGAACACAATTTAAAAGATGACGAACAGCCGTACAAGCAAAGGGGTACGACCGAACGCGAGAGATAAAGAACGCCGTCTCTCGCAGAAAAGCAGCGAACAGCCGGGGGACGAAGGAGGGGAAAAGAGGAGATAATGCGAGAAATAGAGAGGAATATTAGATGAAGGAGAGAGAGAGAGAGAGAGAGAGAGAGAGGAGAAAGAATAACTGATAGGGAAGGGGGAGAAGGAGGAGGGAAAAGGAGAGAGAGTAAGGGAACTCTCTCCCGCGACAGCGGGAACGACAGAACGACAGAGACGAAGCGTGAGAGTAAAAGCGATGTAGATAGATGGAGAGAAAAAGAGAGTGAGCATGAAAGCATGAGGAGGGTAGAAGGGGAGGGGGGGGGG